CAGTAGTAAGTAGAAAGGAAAAGCCACGGAATGTGTAATTACCAGCCAGAACTGTACCTCAAACAGAAATACCCTTCAGGAGTGAGGATGAGATACATTTTGCAACACATAAGGTTCAAAGGAGTTCGTCACTAGTAGGCCATCCCCAAAGCAGAGTCTGAAGAGCATGTTTCATTCAGAAAACAGTGATACCAGAGGAAAGGTCTGAGATGCAGGAGGAATTATGAGCAAAGAATGTGGAAAGATAAGGACAATAAAATGATGATAATGTTCTCATGGATTAGAGGAATGGGAAAGTACAAGCATCCAAATAATTCCACGTAAATCAAGGGGAGGAATGATCAGAGTTAAAGTGGTCTCACTTGCTGTTGTACAATAGAGGGTCAAGATACTGATCTCAACTTTACATGGTTTATACAGCTGCCAGAATGAACAGAGTAGCTACTTAACAAAAGTGATCTATAGATTCCAGGAGGTGTTAAGTTTTTTTTTTTTTTTTTGAAATTTGACAGAGTGATTCTAAAATTTATATGGAAGGAAAAAAAGAATTACTCTTATACTCTTAAAGAATGGGGATGGAAGTAGGGTGCTATGTGTGACTTGCCCTAACTAAATGACAAGAATCAGAATGGCAGTTATCAAGAATACAAGTAACAATAAGTGTTGGCGAGGATGTTAGGGAAAGGCACACTCATACATTGCTGGTGGGACTGCAAATGGTTGCAACCACTCTGGTAAAAGGTGTGGAGATTCCTCAGAAAACTTGGGATGGAACCACCATTTGACCACTTATCCCTCTCCTCAGCATATACCCAAAGGACTTAAAATCAGCATACTACAATGACACAGCCACATCAATATTTATAGCAGCTCAATTCACAATAGCTAAGCCATGAAACCAACCTAGGTGCCTTCCAACAGAGGAATAGATAAAGAAAATGTGGTATATATATATACAATGGAATATTACTTAACCATGAGAAAGGATGAAATTATTACTTTTGCCAGTAAATGGATTTATTAGGAGACTATCATGCTAAGTGAAATAAGCCAATCCCCAAAAACCAAAGGTCAAATGTTTTCTTTGATATGCATATGCTAACACACAACAATCCAATCGGGGAGGGGAAGAATAGAAGTTCTGTGGATTAGACAAAGGGAAATAAAGGGAAGGAGGGTGGATAGGAATAGGAAAGATAGTAGGAAAAAATTTTAAACTATAAATAAATAGAAAATCAAGTAGAAGGAAGGGAATGGAAAGGGGAAGTACTGGGGGCTGAATTAGAACAAATTATATTCCATGCTTGTATAATTATGTTAAAAACTGTATATTATGTATAACTAAGTGAACTATTAAAAAATTTAAAATTTTCAGAAAAGAATTATCAAGCTAAAATACTTGTATGGTGTTGGCATAAAATGGAGAAATCTAAAACTAATTCCTAAATGGAAGCAATGTAAGACTAAGAGGTGTTTCAGTCAGAGGAAGAACGGACATATGTTTCTATGAATAACGTTAGGACAATTAGTAATTGTGTAGGAAAAAAATTAGATCTGAGCTTTACACTGAATATATAATCTCAGGTTGGATTAAAGATGTAAGTATGAAAAAGCAAAAATATAAATCTTTTAGAAGACATTATAATACAGAATCTTTATGACCACAATATAAAGAAAGATTTCTTAAAATTACACCAAAAAGTGCAGACCGTAAAGGTAAAAATTGATAAATTCGACTTTATTAGAGTTAAGACCATCTAAGACACCACAAAGATACCATGGATTTAGTCTGTATCCATTAAGGTCACATTCCGAAATATTTAATAATGAATGATCTTGCATCTGCTTTGAAACTGTTCCAGAAAACAACGCAAAGAGAGAGGAAACTGTTAGCCTGACGCAGTGGTGGGCACCCACCCAGAAGGCTGAGGCCGAGGACCAGGGTGGGAGGCCAGCCTAGGCAACAGGCCGGGACCCTTACAGCTAGATGGGAACAGGAAGTGTATTAAACTCTCTATTTTCTGTGTGTATAATTGAAATTGTATATTTTTTAAAATGTGGGTTTTTTTTAAATTGACCATCATAGATTTATTGTAATGCCCAGATTGTTCAGAAGTGTAAACTTTTTTTTAAATATCATTTTCTAGCCAGGCACAGTGGCACACACCTGTAATCCCAGCTACTTAGAGAGGGAGGCAAGAGGATCACAAGTTCAGGGCCAACCTGGGCAACTTAACAAGACCCAGTCTCAAAATTTTAAAAATATGTTAAAAGGGCTCAGGAAGTAGCTTGAGGGTAGAGCCCTCCTAGGTTCAATCCCCAGTACCCCACACACAAAAAAAATTGTTTTCTGAAAAGACTGTTTGTTAAAGTATATATCTAAATGCAGTCTGAGTAGGAATTTCCTTACAAATTAATAAATCATAAAACAATTTTTTAAAATTAGGTGAAGACATTTGTAACACGTAGAACCAAAAGATCAGTGTCTAAATATTAAGCAAAGAACTCCTGCAAGTCAATAAGCAGTTCCTTAGATGTGGTAGCAAAAGCATTGTCAACAAGGTAAAAAAGACAGCAGTCTGTGCTTCAAAGGGAGTGAAACAACAACACACAGACTGGGGGAAAATAGAACAAATCATGGATGTGACAGTCACGTACGTATGAACGTGGACTATACAGAGAACCTTGCCAATTCAATAATAAAAAGACAAAATTGTTTGAATAAGTAAAGGGATCTGAACAGACATTTATCCAAAGAAGATATAATGCCAACAAGCACATGGAAAGGTTCTCAATATCGTTAGCCACTAGGGAAATGCAAATCAAAACCACAGCAGGATATACTCTTACCCACTAGAATGACTAGAATCAAAAAGAGATGATAACAAATATAGGAGATATAAAATGGTACTTTTGAAAAGTTGAGCATTTCTTCGGATAGTTAAACATAGAGCTACCATATGACCAAGCAATTAATTTCATTCCTAGACTTATACTCAAAAGAAATGAAAACGTGTTCAAATAAAAACTTAAACATAATGTTTATTTATGGCAGCATAATTGATAATAGGTAAGAGGTAGAAACAACCCCAGTGTCCATAACTAGTGAATGGATATATAAAATGTAGCATATAAATACAATGGAATATTATTCGGCCATAAAAAGGTATAGAGTATGAATGTGTATCAAAGTGTGGAGGAACTTTAAAACATTATGTGATCCAGGCATGGTGGTGCATGCATGGTGCAGGCCGAGGATGGAGGACGACAAGTTCCAAGCAGCCTCAGCAACTTAGCAAGACCCTGTCTCAAAATAAAAAATAGAAAGGGCTGGGGATGTGGCTCAGTGGTTAAGTGCCCCTGGATTCAATCCCTGGTACCCACCCCCCAAAAAATAACTATTATGAGAAAGAGAAAGATGGTAGTCACAAATGACCGTGTGTTGTGTGATTCCATTTATTTAAGATGTCCAGAGTAGGCGAATTCTACACAGACAGAAAGTCGATTAGTGGTTTCCTAAGTCTGGAGCATGAGAAGTAGAGGGGTGATGGCTAAGGGATACGGGGTGTCTTTGGAGGGTAATGAAAACGTTCTGAACTTGTGATAAAGGTGCGACTCTAAACATAGTAGAAGCTGTGGAATTGTACACCTTAGATGAGCACATTGTATGATATGTGAATTCTCCCAATAAAGCTGCTTTTAAAAAGCAGTAATAACTTAACAGGAAAATAAACAAGGCAACTCCAGGCATGTCACGGAGGAAACACACATGCCCAGGAGACACCTGAAAAGAGGCTCGGCCTCCTTCCTAGCAGGAAAACGCCAGCTAAACACAGTGAGATGCGAAAAACTCATTTTTCCTTTCTATGTAAACTCATTTGAGTCACCAAAAACTGTAAACTGAGCAGGGCCTTTTCTCTACCTGTAAGGGATGCAGAGAAAGTGAGGGAAGCCCAGTCCCTGTCGCAGAGAGCGTGGACTGTCATTTAGAGAGGTGAAGAAGCAAGGTGGATGACCTTGCATTCCTCTCCTCTGTAAACCCAGAGCTGTGCCCAGGGGCTCCAGGGGCGTACTGGGCCACGGAGACGGAGCCACAGGAGCACTGTAAACCCAAACCACTAAGAACCCCACCAAACGTTACCTAGGGACACGTGGGCGTGGTGATCAAACACTGTTAAAAACAAGGGAAGGATAGTCGGAATGGGAAAGAACGGAGCGGGTCTAGCAGGGATGCTGAGGTGGTGGGGAGACATGGGGAGGCAGGCACGGGGGTAGAACACACAGCATTATCTGACAGGCTGACATTGAGGAAAGATTTTGAAAATCTCAAAACACACGGAATCATACAGTTTTCCATGCAGCTCAAAATGCTAACGCTGACTCTGAGATTCTAGAAAAGATGAACATATTTGAGAATCAAGGGCTTTGTTTATGGATGGATTGAAACAGGGTCTCACTGTCTTGCCCAGGCTTTGGGCCTGGTGGTGAGCTCCTGTAGTCCCAGCTACTTGGGAGGCTGAGTCAGGAGGGTCACTTGAACCCAGCAGTTCTAGACTAGCATGGGCAACATAATGAGGCCTGGACTCTTATTTATTTGTTTATTTGTTTGTTTGTTTATTTTAATTGTAGGTTTATTTATTTTAGATGCAGATGGACAGTATCTTTCTTTATTTTGATGTGGTGCTAAGAATCGAACCCAGTGCCTCACAAGCGCTCTACCACTGAGTCACACCTCCAGCCGCGTGGAGTCTTAAAAATAAATAGATAAGCTAAAATACAGTTTTTTACAAGAGAAAGAAAAACACAAAACCAAGAAGACTATCAAAAAAGCATCAGCAAATCAAATGTTTTAGGAAGGTTTCCAGCAAAAGTGGTTAAAACAAGAGTTTTGTTCTTCCAGGGGAACATTCGGGCGGCACTTCTTTAGGAAAACCATCCATTGCTGGGAAGCCATGAGCCGCTCTCTCCCGGTCACTCAGTGGTTGGCATTCTCTTTCCAGATCCTGCTCACACTAACAGATGAACCGCGAATGCACAGAGGAAGAACCTGTCCACTGCTCCTGGGCGCGTGACTGAGGGTGAAGCATCCGCCAGTGCTGCCAGGGGTCCATAGTATTTTTTTGCTGCCTCAGAGTCCCCAAGGCCTTCAAGCAGAAGTGGCAGTAGATGGTGGCCATCAGCCAAGCGAGACACTGACTGGGACAACAGGAGAACAGAACCTCTGGGTTTGGGTGGAACTTGGCAGTGGGGACGTTCAACTGAGGCCTTCTCTACTCATCCAAGCACACGTGTGTCTTCACCTTCCCTCACCCCCCCCCAGCCTGCTCAGGTCTCCTCTGTCCCTTTCCTGCTGCCACACAGAGATGATATAAAAGAGGCTCTTTGGCTGTTCGCATCTTGCTTCCTCTTCTTTTCCAGGTTGCAGTATTGAGCTCTGTTTGCTTTGTACAAGCTTAAAGCCCTAATAGCAGTACCTACCAGAGTTGTTCTGCCCTTTCGGGGGTCCTGGGGAAGGCAGCGCACATCACCCGTTTCCCAGAGCGTGGAGGCAAGTTGGCCCGCCGCTGACATGAGCCAGGGTAAAGGCACCCTTTGGAATTACTGATTTCTAAGATTAATAAAGTAATTCTATTTTTTTTCTTTTCTTTTTTTTTATTTACTAATTCCCAACAATCAGTATTCACAATCAAGACTGAAATAGAACCAACTTCTCATTTCATTCCATTGCTGGACAATTTTTTCAATTTCATGTTAGAAACGGAAGCTTTCAAGAACTTGTGTTTCAGCAGATGGTGTGTCAGGCTGTTCCCCAGGGCAGCACCTGGGAAGCCCTGTGTACAGATTCTCCACAGCCAGGCTGCAGCTGGAGGCTCGCCCCTGTGGTCCTCTAGTGGCATGTGACTCTGTCCAGTTGCCCTTCACCTCCCTCAAAGTCCATGTGGACAGAGCAGCTCTGCCTGGACCACGTGGCACTTGGCCTCTGCTGTCCTTCCCTAGGTCCTCACTCTGGCTTTTGCTGGAGAACAGGCTGAGAACCGGGCCACAGGCTTGACCTAGCTGTCCTGGGGAGTTACTTTAGAATCCAGAATCTGGGCCTTCTACAAGGTCCTATAAGCTCAGCATTGAAATCCAAAGAGAAAGTGACATACAGAGATTAAAAGGGACTTTATTGACTTCTCGGGGACTGAAAAAAAAAAGGTTTTGGGCACATTGAAGCACTGTGCCTGTGCAGGTTGAGGTCTCATTCCACATGTTCCCGGGACTCCTGGATCATGGTTTGAGAACCATCATAACTCTGCTCACTTGTTTGGGAGTTGGTTAAGAGACAAATTAGAATTCCTCCCTCCACAATCTCCTGCTGATATATAGAGTTGGGAAATAAGGGATTTAGAGAAACTCACCAAATGAATCTTGTGGAAAGGGGTAAGAGGGTATGAGTCTAATAAAAGAACTTTGAAAGCAACTGTGATACTGGGAATTGGCTACATAACTAATCAGACTTAAATGCTCAAATTAATATCTTTCTTCATTCGCTGTGTGTTGACCAGGTGCTAAGACCAGATTCCTGACCTCCCTTCCTGTACCCATGTCCCCTCATTTTTATTGGTAACAAACCAGATTATTGAAGCCTTCTTCCAATAGAGGTATCTTTGTGTGTGTGTGTGTGTGTGTGTGTGTGTGTGTGTGTGTGTGTGGTGGTGGTGCTGGGGATTGAACCCAGGGCCTTGTGCTTGCAAGGCAAGCACTCTACCAACTGAGCTATATCCCCAATCCTAGGTATCATTTTTCAATGTCACTGTACCCTTCCCCAAAACTAGCATGTATTTTTGGAGACATTGGTCCTAGTGTCTGTAGTGCCTGTAAGTGATAATGTGGAAAGGGGAGGCTGGACACTAGACTCTGCTCGTATCCCTATCAGCTGCTTAATGGAGGAGTAGCTTTCTGACAAAGAATATTTGGGCTGGGTGCAGTGGTGCTCTCCTATAATCCCAGCTACTTGGGAAGCTGAAGCAGGAGGATCTCAAGTCCAAGGCCAGCCTCAACAACTTAGCAAGACCCCGTCTTAAAATAAAAAGGGCCAGGGATATAATTCAGTGGTAAAGTGCCCCTGGATTCAATCCCTAGTACCAAGAAAAAGAAAAGAAAAGAAAACATTTGGAATTGCAGTGTGTTCTGTTTTCTTTGGGATACTTCAGGAAACACATCTAGTTGTGTTGGTTCATTAGGATGGACCACCAGCTGTGCTAATGGTTTTCTATGAGGTTGGATTAAAACAGAGATTTAGTCTAAGGTCAAAAAGGTTATTTGCTTCTTATTGAAATCCCAAATAAGGCCCTGTAATGTCAGATATAACACACCACTTTTCAGAATGCAGTTCCTAGGCATCCTGAACCCTGCCCCATTCATAAAGCCAGCTCTTGAGCTGCAGCCTGGAATTGTACATTTTCCCTAAACACAAAGGTGATTCTCAGGCTCACTGAAATTTGAGAATGGCAGCCACAAGTGAATGCACTGTGACATTTGGGATAATACCAGCTACAGCTGGCCTCCTAGACCACCCTCTCTACCCCACTGGCTCCAAAGGTAAGATGGAGCTCGCTCCCACATCAGGATTTAGGGCAGGGACACATTATAGCCCCTCTGAAGGACAGTGAAAGACACAGGATGAAGACAGAGAGAAGCCTGGAGAATTGGCTGGGCACACATGGAGCCAGAAAAGAACTCCTGGTGACCAAAGTCGGAGGAGCAGAAAGGCAGAGGCCTGTACCCACAAACCGCCTGAGCCTATGGTGTGTATCCTTCAACACGCAAACTGTGCTTCAGAGAGACTGTTCCAAGTGCTAAGGTGAGCTCACGGGGGGCAGGTGGTTTTTAGGAGCTGCTAGGTGGTTCCTCACTCTGCACACTCACAAGGTGGACACCAGTGCCATAGCCGAATTCTGCCTTGCTCTGGGATCTGTGACCTCAAAAGAGCACTAGTGGTTCTTTTCCCAAAGTCCTAACAAGAGGCCCCTAGTCTGAAAGGGCTCCTGGTTGGCTCCTTTAGACAACCCAATAACAGAATTAGCCTCATTCTTAGGCCATTGATCACAGACGGTTTCTCTCATGCTCAGCTGATCTGGGGGGCTGAGATGTGATTTCCAAAAATGCTGATGTTGGTCATTTAGATTGAATGTAGAAGCCACATTTCCATATGCAAGGGTTCACATTGCCAGTGATGTGGACGTCAAATTCTAGGCTTTCTGCGAATCTGAGCTACTGCCTGTGTGTATCTGAGAATAACATACTGTGCAAGGAGGGACACACGGACAACAATGCCATTTTCTCAGGTGACAGGAGGCAGCACAGTCCCTCTGTCCAGCAGATTCATGCTAAGCAATATATTTAATGCTTGAGAGATTCTCTGCCCAGATTCCAGTTACCATTAATTAGAAGAGGCTGACATAGAATTAAGAAAATGGTCATTAAGGATATGAATGGAGTGAGACATATACCTTAGAATAAGGCTTTTACTGTTCTAGAAACAATCTTCCAGAAGATGAAATCATCCACAATTCCCCAAAAATATTTATTCATACAAAGATTTTGAGAGTAATATTTGTACTTGTCTTTATACCTCAGACAACTCATCTTGGGCCAAGTCACCACATGGCACATGTGGTGCAGCCTCCCCAGATGCCTCCCGTGTGGCACCAGCTTCCAGGAAGACCAGGTGGACACAAGGTCTCGAGAACTTGGAGGAGAGGAACCCCTCATGCTCAGAGGCTGCACAGAACCAGAATCCAGATATGTGCACCCTGGCCTGGAAGGTGTCCAGCCAAATGTCCAAGGGGAAATGTGATTGAGGATGAAGGCAAGAGGAGGGACCCAGAGGGCAGACAGGAAAGGGTCAGTTCCCACCCTTTGCTTCTGAGTTCAGCATCTCCAGGGGCCAATACAGTTGCTGGCCCAGGAACCATATTACATTACCTGGAATGACCCATGATGCTGACTGTGGAAACGACAATTAAAAAAGAAATTGTCCTTAATCCCAGGTAGTACAAGGTGCAATTCTGGGACTTTGTCTTGGTGACCTGTCTGAAGGAAAGTGCTTGCCTCATATGACACCATCCAGATTCCCCTAGAGCGATTGTGGTACAGCAATGAGCAAAGCTGACCTCAGATCCGAAGCATCTTCCAGTCTGAGCCTGACCCAGCCATCCTTTGTCCTTCCTCCTCCCTATTGTACCCAAGTCCCATTGCCACATGACATGTCAACTTGCCATCCTCTTCCTCTAGCCCCACCACCTCTGTCTGCACCACAGAAAACCTGTGTCCCCAAGAGTTCGCCTTCCCCTAACCACCCCACACTTTCTTTACCACAGTGATTCTCAGAGCCAGCAAGAAAGAAATGTTCCAGAAGGAAGCCTCCGTCTTGGCCAAATGCCAGGAGCCGAGGGTTGTGGACGCCAGGCCTCTAGGTGAGGTCTGTCACTTTGGTTTCCCGAGGCGCGGGCAGTCGGGCAGGGGCAGCTTTCCCTCATCTGTCGCAGGCCTCAGCTACACTTACACGACTTCACCACCATGTTGGAGAGCTGCTCCACCTTGGGGGTCCTCCCGACATAGTACAGAATAGTCAGGGGCTCCAAGTCCTGGGGCACACAGCAAGGTGAGGCCGATGCTTCCGGGTTCAGGGTGTTGTACAGCCCCAGCACCTGGAGTTTGGGGAAACAGCATTTAGAGGTGGGAGAGCCATGCCCCAGGCCTGCAGCCCAGGAAACTCTACAAGCTCTCAAAGACAGGGCAAGTGGTAGAACAGCCATTGATGATGCTACGTAACAGGACTAGTGGGAACAGTTTGGATGACTAGTTGTGGCCATCCCCTAAGGCAGAATGCAGAACATGCACTGTTTGAGGGTTATCAGTTTAAGCATATCACAGTTATCAGAGGCCTTTCAATGAATAAGGAAAGTCTTTTGGCTGGTAAGAAAATACTCCTATACTGGTCTTCCTTACTATAAAGGATCACTCTGGTGGAAAATGGTCTCGCTAATGACTGCAGGGGCCATTTAGGAAGTGCCAGGGTGCGGGGCCCCCACACAGGATGCAGGCTAATGAGCTATAGGGAAACGTGCTTTGTGAAGACTGCCCTATTTTAATTCCCCTTGAGGAAAGACATGCTGCAGAGGTGTGAACTCTTTTGCTCACTTTCTCTTCCTGGAGTTTCAGGGCTGCTTCAGAATATGCTTTACATTGTCTCTCAGAACTATGTTTGCACATTCGAGAGACTGCAGCTGTCAGAGTTCTTTGGTAGTGGTGACATTTCTTCCCCAACATTCCCTGCCAACCATGTACACACATCTCTGACATATAATTAACTTCTCTGGTACAAAAGCTTTAGACAAAGCAAATACAAAGTCTGGTTGAAACTATGGTAGGGACTTTTTGTTTTTGAAGCTGAGATCCAACCCAGGCCCTTATACTCACTTGCACTCTCCCACAGAGCTATGTCCCTCCAGCACCTGTGGAAGGATTCTTCCTTTCTAATAGTAGATATTGAACCCAGGGTGCTCTACCACTGAGCTACATTCCCCAGCCCTTTTTAGTTTTTATTTTGAAACAGGGTCCTGCTAAGTTGCCAAGGCTGGCCTTGATTGCGATCCTCATGCCTTAACCTCCAGAGTTGTTGGGATTACAGGCATGAACCACCATACCAGGCTCTGGGGGGAATTTTAAAAGGCAGGATGTGATCAAGTAGAATTAGGCCAGGGTACAAGGTCAGAACCTTTAATGAAGAGATTTTACTCACCCCAAATTATCATCTGCTCATTTAACATTCAATCATTCATTTGTTTTAACAAGTGGCCTGGTCAGCTCAGCCCCAGTGCCCAGATGGCCCGTGCCCTGCTCCCTACCGTGCTGTGGGTCGTGTCTGCGCTTCGGAGATAAGGACAAGGGCCTGAGCAAAAGTTGGCATAGTAGCCCTTAGGTTCGTGGACCCACTTCCAGCCCAGGTCCTGTCGGAAGTCAATGTAGAGGGGCCGCACACAGCAGTTTTCCTCCAAGTTGCTACAACAGAAAACATTAAACAGAAGATCAACCTAAATGGAAGCCACCAATAAGAGAAACTTCACAGATGCCTTCATATTTCCCCCTGGCATCCTTCCATGCTACCACTGAAGGTGGGCCTTCAACAGAATCCCTCACACAAGCACATGGTATAGAAGAGACCAGGAGGTGTCTCCCTATGTTGAGCAGCAGGATCTCAGCCATGCAATAGGTAGATATAAATGCCACAGAAGGAAAAGTGAAGAGCTAAAAGTGACCCTGTCCCCTTTTACATCACACATCAAAACAGACATAAACTGTCCCACACACGACCGAGCCCTCACTTTACGTTATCAGCCGTGTCCGCTTTGTTGGGGACAGTTTATCATGACCCTTCTGTTGCACACCCAGCCAGAAAGAAGCTCACAGATTATGCAGCTTGTATCCTACTAGAGATGACTGCTCAGACTAAATCTTGAGGCCATTTAGCCAAAATAAGGTACAGCCTCCTATTAGAATCATGATCCCCAGGTCCCACAAATGTGAGTGACGGGCCCCTCCGATTTGGTTGCCTGCAGAAATCCACTTGGTAGGACTCCTTGCCACATGGGCATTAAGACTCACTTTAACGGGTCTCTTCTGCGACTTAGAACTTGGTACTTCCACAGGCCTCTCGGGCCGCCATTGGACAAAGTCTGGCTTCTGGAGGGTTCCAAGGTTGAACCATGGCAGAAACTACTGGTTATCTATGCAATCAACATCCCTAGTGCCCTCTCCCTTGCCACCTCCCATTATGGAGTCTGGAACACCAGATACTCGTTTTCCTAGCCTCCCTAGCAGGTAGGGATGGATGGTCCTGTGGTCCAGTAATGGCCAGCCACAGGAATAAGAAGTGTGCAGGGGTTCGTGAAAGCAAGTTCTGGGCAAAGACATCTGGTTATAAAAGTAACAGAAGGAAAAGGAAAGCTGCTGGCTCCTCTCCGTCTCCCCTTCTCCTTGCCCTAAACAGGGGCAAGATACCTGAAGACCCAGCAATCCCTTGCGGCCATAGGCAAGAGGATGAAGCGCCACTGTACCACGTAGGGCGGGCCAGAAGACAGGAAAGCCGCGTCCTGAATGGTGTAATTAAGCAGCCCTCCGCCTGCTTTCAGACAGGTGGTGACAGCCACCCTGCCTTTCCCATAGCCTCTGTTCCCAAGCCCAACGTCCCTATTTACCCAGTTGTTTTTCACAAGACACAGTTTCCACATCAAAGATTCCTCCAGTCCATTCCTCCCACTCCATTCAGGAATCTTCTCCAGTCAGACTGACCCCATCCTGCTCCTGCCAGATCCCCACATGCCCAGATCCCTCCCATCCCAAAGGCAAGCTCAGATTCCACACCCTTCTGAAGCCTTTCCTGTATCCATGTGTGAACTCCTTGCTCCCAATTGTTAAAGTCCTTTATCCTTCAGACCCTCTCCTGATGTGAACTTTTTGTGCCTTTTAATATTTAGTCTGCAGGCTTTATCCACCACCCTCCTACAGCAGTTCCATGCTCCCGAAGAAGGGGGAAACCTACATCTTTCCCATCTCTGCATGGGAGCTCCCCAATTATTTCGGAATCTGTAGATTTCTCTAGATCAGATTTCCCCTATAAATGGACACTATTTTCCCCCCACCCAGTAGCTCGCCAGGAGCCTGCCCAGGGAACTGAGCATGTCTTCACTGGAAACCCCTGCCTTAATCTCTCCCACACAAACACACCCTGCAAATACTTAAAACTCAAAACCACAGAGGCTTCCGCCAAGTGTTCCCAGTCCAAACTATTCTCACAACACTGTCCTCCTTGAAGTTTCCCTCTTTTACTGCATCTGGACCCTTACAGAGTCGGGCTGCAGAAAAACAGTGAGGCTCCCAGGAAAAACAGGAAGATTTTTGTGAGCGATTTCCAGTCTTCTTTCCTGGAGATATTTGCGAACATCATCCTGGACCCTGGGCGAGTGAGGCTCAGGTGGGGGCCTGTGCCCAGGGCGCAGATCTAGGTCTGCGTGGGGCCCAGGCTCACCGGAAGCAATAGTTGGTGTCCAGGGCCCGCTTCTTCCTTTGGCCTCCCTGGCCTGGGTTGTCGAGCCGGTGCGGGGGAATCATCATGAGGATCAGGTGAGGGTTGTGGTGATCCTTCTGCTTCTTGAGGCGCCCCAGGTCTCCACGGCCATGGTCATCCTCATTGTCCACACCTGCAGAAGGGAGAGAAGGTGACAATCTCCAGTCTAAGGAAAGCAGAGCCCTTGGAGGCTGCTTCCTCATCCCAGCCCATCTCTGCCCAGGAAGAAGGGCAGGGCTGTCTGCTGGGAAGGACATTCTAATGTCTAACATTCTAATGTCCCGCCATAGGACAGGGATGACTCGGGGGAGGAACTGGTATCAAAAGTTCCCAACGTAAGGATGCCACTGCAACAGGCCACGTTCACTCCATACAAGGGTCTTCCAAAGGGGATGGGATGCTTCCTGGGAGTCTTCATGGATCCACGAAGCATCCTTATTCCCAGGCGGGTACTAACACAGGTTGTCAGTTTAGATTCTGAGACTTAGAATCTTGGGGAACTGAGTTTCCTGTTCCAATCTAAATTGGTTAATCCAAGGTGTCACAATTTAGGTAGGCTGAATGGAAGCCCAAGAAACAATTTGGATTGTGAACATTCACATTGTGCTTGTAGTTCTGGGAGTGTTTGCATTTTGCACTTGTAAAACTCAGGTGAGATAATAAAGCCCAGGATAAAGAGCTTATCAAACAAGCTCTGGGAAGAAAGCCCGAGTCCATCAGAGCGTGTTTCATCTAAAAAGGAAAACACTGAAAACTGACTGGAGATCTAGTTTGCAAAGAACAGCTGTCAGCCAGGGCAGAAACTCAAGAGGTCTTATCTCCATCAGGAGGGGCCTGGATCTCAGGAAGGGGCACTTGGTTTATAAGATAAATGGGAGACCTGGATCTCAAATTCCCTTTATGAAAAGCCTGATGAACAAGGTACGTGTCCGTGGCAGTGGGAAGGTTTCAGCCTGACCTGGCCTGGAGGGGAGACTCTGAAGGGCTGAGCTCTGAGGTTCTGAGATGAAGTTGACAAATCCCTGGCTTTAATTTTTTTTTTAAAAAAGGGCTTTGAAATGGAGGCCATGCAGGTAAAGAGGACCACTTGGGTCCAGGAGCCAAGAGAAGCTTCTCTGACCACAGGGGTCTCTCCATTACCCAAAATAGGAGTACAGGAGGAAAAGTACCTCCCTGCGCTCCAGAGACTAACAAGGCCAAGTTCCTGGTCTACATACTGTAGACCCAGAAGTGACTCTCAGCTACATCCTGACCTCTACACAAACACCAGTGGTCAAATACCCTGAGCCCTGAAGCAATCATTCAAACCTACGTGCCTCCTGGGCAAGGATCAGGTGGGCCACAGTGTCTGGAAAGCTCAGGAGGAGGGCACTCATGTTCAGAGCCACCAAAGTTAATTTCTTTAGGAAATTTGTGGAGCCTACCTGGCCCTGGGTTTCACATTCCGCATCTCCTTTAACTACCAAAGAGGCAGCCTCAAGCCCTTAACAATAGGCTCCGAGGAAATGAACAGTGGCCTGCGTGCCTTCTCTACTCTCCCCAGCATCCTGTGGTCTTTCAGAGGCTGATGTGTTCTCCCTCCCATGACAGTCACCCTCATGGCTTTGGGGGCAAAGCAGAATTACTCAAGTGAAAAACCGTTGGCCATCTCTGAGAAGGAGACTGCTTCTTTTTCTTGGGGTCTGGTAGGCATCTCCCGTTCCATTACCCTCCCCAGCCTACTACACACATTTACCTTTGAATTTGATTTCCATCACCTCGTGAATGTTTTCCAGGATATCTCCATTGGGCTGAAAGGTGTGGCATGGACAATGAATGCTGATCTCCAGACCCAAGTTGGACTCTGTAAAATAAGACATGGCACTGGTGAGAAAGCACTTTGCATGATGGGAAGGCCTGCCCACCCCCCTGCAAGGTGGGGCCAGGGCCTCTGCTCCCATAGCACTCACAGGAACGGAGTTATAGGAAGGGTCACAGGAGACTGGAAGTCCTTCCAAAGCCCAGAGTGGAGCCCTACACACGTTTCCACGTTCCACATACTTCTGTTACACAATGAACCACCAAACAGAGGCGTAAACAGTGGGCACCACGAAGGAGAGAGGTAATAACCATCCATTTTCAAAGGATGGCATTAAGGGAAAATTGTAGCTTATCTACTCTGGGGCAAAAGGACAAGTATAGAGGAAGGAAAGAAAAAGCACCACCTCAGTGGTGGGAGAGGAGATACTTAAGCTAACCTGCTGAACACAGATGAAAGGAAGGGACAGGCACAGGAAGGGACTAGGGAGTAATTGAAGAGCTTCAGAGCAGAGAGACAGTGATCCAGTTCCATTCAAAGGGCCTCAGGAGGAAGCCTGAGCCACAGGATTAAAAGTCGGGAATCCATGCTAGAGGCAGGTCCCCTGCAAATGAGATGCAGAGTCAGTCCAAATGGAAGGTGCCAGCTCTTCCACTGGAGCTGCGGTTGCGGGTGTAGAGGAAGTGGTAGATTCCAGAGGAGATAAGATGAAAATCCAGGTCACACCTGGCCATATTTTCCCTACAGAACAAGGCCATAATGAGGTGAAAAAATAACTTGGGTTATTTTTTACCTCATTATGGGTGTTTCTTCCTTGAAGTTCCTGGTTCCCATGATGGGAAAGTTGGGGCTGTGGATGGCTTACCAAGATGAACAGCTGGGGAAGATGGTTGTGAAATTAGAGAACAAACCAGAGGCAATGACGGTGGGCCACGGCCAAAGGTCCAGATGACGGGTCTCAAGAGAGAATGAGCATGAGGCAGCCCAGAGGTGCCAGAGTTTGGTGACAGACTTTCTAGCACTAGGCCAACTCTGATTCTTTCTCAGGTTGGTTGTGGGATCATCGCATCTGTTTGGGCAACCAGAATCAAGGAAGCAGGGCAGTTAGTAAGTGAGGATGAGTGGAGTGGAAGGAAAAAAAGAAGTGAATGGAAACTCTGAATAGGGCAGGGGCTGCAGCTCAGTGGTAGAGCATTTGCCTACCACTGAGCCTGTGTGAGGCCCTGGGTTCAATCCTCAGTATCACAAAAGAAAAACAAAAAGTTTGAATGATCAAGTAGTTTTGTGCAGGTCTGATCTGGCATCGCATCCATCTGGGTGAGTGAGACTCAATTAGGGACGCTCTGTTGAACCTGGGTGGCAGCCAGTTGTTGCCAGGTATAGGAAAGATCCTGAGGAATGGGGCCTTCTGGGTTCAGGGTTAGCATCTCAGTGAGCTAATTGATTTCCTGGAGTCCAGTGTGGCCTCGCACCCTTCTCATGGGCAGAACGGTACAAGCTCAGTAACTTGCAGGCATTCTGTGGGCCTGGGCATCCTAGACCTACGGGTAAAAAAACAGACCATTTCTCCTATAAACTCCAGAGGCTAGCTAGAATTGTTCTATTCCAAATCAGGGCTACCTCTGGGACACACTGACACCTGCTAAGTTTGAAGATCTCCGTTCCAGAAAGTTAGCTTAGAGTGGTGTTATAATTTGGATATGAGGTGTCCCCCAAAAGCTCACGTGTGAGACAATACAAGAAGGTTTGGAGCAGAAATGATTGGGCTGTGAGAGTCTTAACCTAATCAGTGAATTGATCCCTGATGGGATTAACTGAGTGGTGTCTGGAGGAGGGTGGGGTGTGGCTGGAGGATGTGGTTCACTGGGGGCGTGGCCAAGGGGTATATATTTGTATCAGGGGAGTGGAGTCTATCTCTCTGCCTTCTGATCACCATATGAGCTGCCTCACAGGAGCCCTGAGGAATGGAGCCGGCCTTCTGTGGACTAAAATCGTTGAAACCGTGAGCCCTCAAATAAACTTTTCCTCCTTTAAAATTGTTTCAGTCAGATCCTTTAGTGACGGCAGCAAAATACCTGAGTAAAACAAGTGGAGAGGAGGACCACTCTATCAAGGAGCAGAGAGAAACTCAGCAAGAGAGGAAGTGAATACAAAGGGAAGCAAAGGAGTGCCCTCTCCCTGGAAGAGGAGGCCGGAGGAGTTAAAATTTGCTACCTATCAATACACGTACTTCCTGCTCGAGGTGGTCTAAGGTGGGTGAGTTCTACAAGTCTGTAAGTTATGAAGCCAGTGTGCATACAGATGTGTTGGGGACAGTCGGGGTTGGGGGACAGGTGGTCAGCACAAGACAGTGGCTTGGCTTGGCCAACAGGCTCTATCTAGGTAAAGGGCTCAGAGCAGATAACCACCACCACCATTTTTTAACATTACACATATATGAAACACTGCTCTAAGACTATACAAGCATTGACTCATTTTATCTCTATAATAGTCCTGATAATCCTAGGAAGAGAAAATTATTGTTCCTCATTGTACAGATAAGGATACCAAGGCTTAAGGAAATTCAATAGCTTGCCCAAAGTATCCAACCATAAGTGGTAGTTCCAGGTTTTAAACACAGCCTGAGTGTTCTGATGCCCAGATCCCACACTCCTAATTGTTAGAGACAGGAAGGGAGAAAAGCAGGCAGCAGAGAGCACAGAGGAACGTGTCCACACATTCACCGAGATGCCAAATGACTGTGCTTGTTGGTGTTCCACCTGTCCTGAGCCATGATGCTGAGAGTGCTCCCTGCCCAGCCTCCTAGGGGCAGCCTGGCTCCGAAACTGAGAAGCTGCAGATTATATGAGTAACAACCCAGGAAATGAGGACCTGGGCCCTGCCTGCATCCTGGATTGGGTTCCAACCAGTTCTGGGACCCAGAACACAGTCTGGACAGCTGGTAGGCTCTCAGATGCTTGCCAAATGAATCCAAAGACACAGGTGTGACCCAGTTCCTCATCAATGCATACTACCAACTGTCCAACCATTTGCAGCCTGGTTTGGGGCCATGAACTCTGAAGAGATTCATGAGCTCCAAATAAGCAAAACCCTCTGCTGATTCCCCTGTGGGAGGAGAGGGCTGGGCAGATTCTGTGTAAGTAGGAACTGAAGGTTCTAATGAAGAACTAACCTCAGAATTGGCAGCAGTGGAGTGGTGGGTGAGGGACCCATAGGTTTTATTATGAAATGATCTTTTCTGATGTCTCACAGAAGATGGAAATCATTCTCAATGCACACTTCTCATTGAATTCTGCAGCTGTGAAAATAAGAACTCCAAGTGCCCAGGGCTTCAAAGAAATCCAGGTGGCGCAGATCGAGATCAGACAAGGAGGCTAAGAGATTTAATTTCCCCAGCCCCTCCTTTTTGTAGCCAAGCAGGCTCTGGGCTCTGAGCAGAGCGCTGTCTGAGTCAGAATTCCCAACAGTGAGTACTGCAGTCAGCAGAGCACGTGGGTTCTTCCAGGCCTTGCCTTCATGCTTGGTAGGAGGGACAGGGACAGGATCTCCAACCCACCATCTGCCAATTCAGCCACCAAAACAAGGCCCCTTAGATGGAGGATTGCCAACTCAGATGCCTGCAGAGCCCAGGCAGGTCACACGAGGAAGCCAGCCATGCCAGTAGATGGTGTGGAGTAGAACCGCCAGCCTCACTGTTGGGGAACACGAGTGTGGGGACAGAAGGATGCACACCCCACCCCCAGGGGAGGCCACAACTCATCTCTGGTGGATTGTTACAAGGAAGACTTTCAGTTTTTCAAAAAAAAGGCAGAAATGAATGCTTTATATGAAATCTCCTAACTTGAAACTTAAAACAATATGGTGGCCAAGCAGTTTCAGACCTCTGCCTTTGAGCTTTAATCCCTAGATTCCTAAAACACCACAGGCACAGGAGGATCCACCTGTCTCAGGGACTCTGGCCATCAACATGTGGATTGTGGCTTTATAGCAGCTAAGAATAGTGGAAAACTCACCAGAAGAGGGAGAGAAGGAGCAGATGGGACTGCCACATGTGACCTCTGCCCATTGAACAGTCAAACCAAGAGTACCAGCCAAGTCAGGGGAGAGCACAGCAGGTGTCAAGAGACACGTGAGTTCTAATCCAGGCTGGATGACTTAACTTCTCTGGACCTCGCTTTCCTTACTGGACACAATAAAAGCTTGTAAAACATGTTGAAAACCATGAAGTTCTCTCAAATACGTTCGATCCGTCAAACATCTCTGTGAGGCCGGGTGCGATGGTGCAAGCCTGTAATCCCAACGGCTCGGGAGGCCAAGACAGGAGGATAGAGAGTTCAAAGCCAGCCTCAGCAATTTAGTGAGACCTGAAGCAACTTAGTGTGACCCTGACTCAAAATAAAACAAAAGGGCTGAGGATGTGGCTCAATGATTAACCACCCCTGGATTCAATCCCTGGTATCAAAAAACAAACATCTCTGTGAGGCATGCAGGGAAGGTGATGGTAAGTGGGTAAGAGATTTGGGACACGTGAGGTTTGATAGACCTATTGGATGGTGCTGGATGATGTGTCCCCAACCACCATTTCCACGGAGGGTTTTGACTCCCAGGCCTTTCAAACTTAATTGGCCAAAACACGACTCGCCCCCAAACCTGCTCTTCTTCCAATCCAATTCCTATTCCAATACATGATAGCTCAGTCCAAAAATCTAGAAGTCAAACGCAACTGCTCCTGTGTCCTCATAGCCTGCCCCATTGGCTCTATCTTCAAAATATGGAACAAATTCATACAATTTCCACTCCTCCTGCCCCAATCTGGGCCCCTGTTGTCCTCATGTGAGTTGCTGCAATGGTCCCTAACTGGTTTTCCTGCTTCTTCCTTTGACCTCATGAAAACCAGAAGGATCTTTAAAAGGGTGAGTAAATCACCTCACCCATATCTCCAGCTCTGCTTCTAGCATTCCCGTGGTGTCTCATCACACTTGGAATAAGTCCTAAAGCTTACCATGGCCCGACAGGTCCTAAATCACAGGGCCCTAGCTCACTGTGCTCTGGGACACCAGTCTGTCACTGCTGCTGGAACAAATCAAGCTGGTTTCCTCCTAAGGGCTGGGGCTTCCCGGTCTCCTTTACTTGAGACTTCCTTGATCCTGACCCTGTGACCCCTCAGATCTCACCGTAGGAACTCCTTTTTCACCGAGACCTTCCCTGAGCAGCCACTATAGGACCCACTGGGCCATTATCACATGGCACTCTATCTGAAGCTCTTACTCATCCATATGTTTGCTTATTGAGACATGTCTCTCCCACCAAAATGAAAGCCCCATAAGATCTGGGACCCACCTGTCTTGTTCAGTGAGGAACCCCCAGGACCTGCCATAGAGGCAGAGTAGATAATCGGTGGATATGCAGAGAATCTGTGCAAATCTAGGCTTTGAGCCCAGATCTGTGGCTCCCCTAGTTCTGTCTTCTTCCCTCTCATGACAGATGAAGGGAACAGAGGTTATTCCTGAGATGCTCATCCTAAGGTTCCACCCACCTCTTCGCAACAGCCACTCGCGCACAGTGTCCGTGACATCAAAAGACAGCCACTCCGCAGTGCCCCGTGTGGGCAGGTTTTTGCCTCCGATGTAACGTTGTTTGGCGATGTGCTCATCTGGTCGAAGTATCTACAGGGCAGAGAACAGGGTCAGTACCTGAGGCCAGGACACAGTGCCATAGGAGAGGTCACAAGACAGGTGAGAAAGCAAAAGTTTCAGAGTGCCATGTCCTTGGAGCACTGTAGGGAGTTCTGTCCTCTTAATGACAGACAGACATGGAAATTAAGGGTCAGAGGAGCCAGGATTCAGACCCAGACCTGCTGAACTCTGAGCCCTGGTGGAAGCCGAACACGGTAGAGGCACTGACTCTGGTCGGTGGTTCTGTCCTGGGAGGGTACCTGGAAGAGTTCGATCCTCTGCTCAGTGCGCTTGGAGCTGGGATTAGGCACCCGCAAGACCCGGAATTCTGCCCGGAAAAGATTGGTTCCATTTTTCTCCACTGAGGACACGTTGAAGCGGAAAACCTTGGAGGTAATTCCTTTGGGGCAGACGGCCAACTCGTCTAGGGGATAAAGCAACGGGGAGAAGCACAGCATGAGTGACACCTGTGAGAACAGTGCACTGCCAGCAGATGTGGCAAGTGGCCACAGTCCCACCTGTGACCTCCACAGAGGTCTGAGACCTGAGACCTGAAAGTGGAGATAGGAGAAAGAGTCTTGGTGACCCTCGAGTCATACAGTCCTGAGAGAAGAGCAGGGAGACCTCAGAGACCCTGGACGACGTGGCACCAAGACTGGATGGCAAAACACAACAGCCCCTCCCCCCACTGCCTGGATATCCGCATCTGCTAAGCTCTCAGCCAGACTTGCCTGCTCTTTTAGAAAATGCAGATTCTCAAAAGATAGCAGTCCCCCCCCCCCACCCACCCAGTGGCTTAGCTCATGGACTCATTTGTGAGTTTGGGGCATTCATTCACTTCCTGAACACTGGAGAGCAATGTGACATGCCAAACCCTGTAGATGCTAACACCGGGAAGCAAAGAACAAATGGATGCAGCCACTGCCCCCCAGGGAATTAATATCCAAGGGAGGTCACTGACACATGAACCCAAATTACAGGACCAGAGAGAAGGGGCCTTTGGAAATGCCAAAGAGAGGCTGCAGGGGATGGGAGGAGGAAGAGAGCAGGGGACACTTTGGGGAAGAAATGACAGGAATCTGAGCCCTGCAGGAACAGCAGAGCATGAGGATGGGAAGGAAAGAGACCTCACATGGATGGAGGGACACTTGGAGCAGAGGCAGGGAGCAAAGCAAACCCAGGAGAGGAGGAGGGACCCAAAGCATCTAGGCTGCAGCTGGTGAGAGGGTCAAGACAGCAGAGTGCGTGCTGCCTGTAGGGAGACCCACGTGTCAGACCTAGAGGCTGGGTTGTATCCCAAAATATCAGGGAGCCATGGGAAGTGGCAGAGTTAATGCTGAATAACACAAAAACAGAATCAGCACCATGGTCTCCACCTAATGAAGCAGGGTCTGTATGGCAAAGAGACCATCTTGGTCCTGGCAGAAACACAGGTTTCTTTGAACAGGGGTCAGCTGCCATTGGCTCCTTTCTCTTTAAGGGTCTCTGACGGCACGTGTCATGCCAGCCTCTGTCACCCTGCTGACTTCTTCACCCCTATCCACCAGACAGAAGGCAGCAGATGCTCTCTCCCACCCTTCAGAGCCAGATCTTTATCAGAGCTGACCCAGACACAGAGAGAAAGCCCCGTCTCTCCTCTACTCCAGCGCACTTGACAATCTCAGGATCTGAGCAGCATGACACCCACAGAAAAAGTTCACAACTGGTAACAACGGCCAGAACTTGAAATTCAAGCTCCTGGACCCAGATTCCACACATAATGGACATGGCTGGAATGAGATCATAATCACCCCGAGGGGTGGTTTAGGAAGTCACGGACAAGGCGGGACAGATCAGAGTCTGGAAACAAGCAAATGTGCTACTGATCTTTAGGAAAGGATGAGTGAGTGTTTCTGGAAATTGCCATCTGGTGGGCCTGACACTGGTTCTTAGAAAATGAATGGAACAGATGTGAGGAGAACAAATGTGTGAATGCCAGCTAATGAATCCCTGATTAATAAGTGACCTTGAAAGAACAAATACTGCCAACTATTCCCTAAACCATCTCAGCAAGAACCAAAGACAGGAATCTGGGTTGGCAATCTTTTTTTTCTTTTCTTTTGGTGCTAGAGATGGAACCTAGGGCCTCACACATGCTGAGCACACACTCTACCACTGAGATGCACCTCCAGCCCCAGGGAGGGCAATTTAATGTTTAAGTCCACAGGTTTATAACTCGGGACATGGATAAGCTACTGGGTCTGCTGTCCCTCTCAAGGACCGACAGAGTTGGGTCTTGAAGGAGCTGTCATCAGTCTGGCTTCAGTTTTAACAGCAGCTCCAGTACTGTCTGCAAGAGAGAATAAAGGGCAAGTCAGGGCACTGCTCACCTTGCTCTCAAGACAAGAAGGGAGTGGAAATAGCACCTGCCAGGGAGGAGAATCAGAGCGGGGTCACACAGTGGGAAGTCAGAAGATGAGGAAGGGGGGGGTGGCACTAAGAGAGTTCTCAGGACACCCTAGTAACCACCCCTCCTTGATTTCTTCCTGCCCATCAATCATATATCTGTACCCAAGATGACTTTTCTTTCTGAGAATGTGAAGGAGGTTTCAAGAGGTAGGAAGGGTCTTTTTCTATCACTGTTTCCAACAGGATTAGAAAGGACATTAGAAATCATCCTGTGTGACCCTCTTCAGATAAAGAAACGAATATCCAGAACAGTCTTGGTCAGAGTCACACATGGATTAACTGACATGAGTGAACTGGCACTAGTAAGCAAAGCTCAGACACAATCATTGGTGATTAAAAAACAGGATTACCTGGGAGAGAAAAGAAAAATGTAAGTGTGGTCTTGACAAATACATCTGCCGAATAATGTTTTATACAATTTGTGGAATGCATGAGTATAAGGAAATAAGCAAAATAAATAAGTGTAAATAACACCACCATACATTTTATAGCGATCTCATGAACTCATATGACCCTGTAACAACCCTTGAGAATAAAGAGAGTATATAAAATTTCTCATTCTACAAATGAGAAAAGTGAACATCAGAAAAGTTAAACGACTCCCAATGTCACTCCATTAGCAGGCGGCAGAGGTGGGACTGGAACCCATGTCTTCTGTCCACTCCCCAGTTACTGAAGCAGAGACTCTGGAACTTGGAGGGGACCTGGGAGGTCCTCCAGTGAAGAGCTAATATCATCAACAAAATGTGGCAGAATTCCTTGAAATGGGCCTAGAGTACCAGCCTGTGCCCCAGATGAGAGCCAATGGCCAGTCCATTTTGTGATTCTTAAGCCAGACTTTCCACGGAACATGAGCATTCTGAAGAGCTGGACTAGGGGAGTCTATGTTTACAAATTAAGTTATGACCAACTTTTTCCATTGCACCAAGAAAAATAGATATGCATGGATGCCACTTTCTCTGTTTTGCTTTAGGGGGGCAAGCAAAGAATAAGCAAGCAAAAAACATCAGGTGGGGTATCCACGTTTACTTAACTGCCTTTAAAAATGTTTATAGACACCTGGGCCGCTAGGTGTGCCTCTGCCTATATAGGTCACTCCTGCTGGTCCGGTGAAGGCCCGGGTATGTCCGCCCGGGTATGTCGGAGTGGCCGTGCTTCTCCTCTGTCTCTGCAGCAGAACCACCTGGAGAGCTTTAAAACCAGGTGGAGTCTGGGCTCGCTGCCCAGCAGTTCTGTCTATACAGGGTGAATCCACAGCATTTTAAAAAATGTTCTCCAGATGATTCTAAATGTGTAGCCAGGATGGAGAACCACAGTTTATAGTTTTCTGCTAAGGGTGCCATGGCTTCAGATGTTCTGGAAGTTTGAGAAACCACTGGATTAATGGTTTTGAAGCTCTAAATGGATTAACCTTTAAATGAATTAGAAGTGTTGTTTAGCCAATGTACCATGTTTAAATTTTTTGAATTAGAAGCCCGTAAACATTTTAAGCCCATGTGAAAAGTTGAGAGATTTCACAGAAAGATCCAGATTTTCTGCTCTTCTGGAAAGTGGTAAGATGGAGTCAAGCTGGACCCACATTCCTGAGTGTAAAAATCAGCAGGAGCTGAGCAGTGGCTGCTTCTTTCAACAGGACAGTGGGGAGCCCAGGTCCCTCCCTCCCCTGGCCACAACTACTTTATCCATATCCCTATCCCTGAGGCTAAGTGTCCTGTGCATTTTGTCACGGTGCCTAGATCACGGTTTTTCTTCCAGATTGTGTGCATTACCTGCCTCTCGGTAGGAACTTACATTTGCACCTGCTCCAAAGAAAAGACTCTGCCTTCAGCTCAATGAAAATACTGATTCCTCAGGATCCATATCCCCCAGAGATTGATTCTGTAAGAGTGAGGTGTGACCTGGGAGTCCACATTCACCCGCCTCGGGGCCACCCTTGAATAACCATGCACAGAGCATGGGCACTTAGGGCCCATGAGTTCTTTCAACATGAAATGCCTTCTAATTTCCAAAAGATAGTTTCCAAAATCTATAGTTAGCAGCCAGAAAAGAAAGGCTAAAATACCGCATTTTCTCTTTGCTCAGGAATTTTGGGTTTGCTGGCTGTCTTCACACTGCCCTTGGCTTAGAACAAGAGTTTCCCCCTGGACACAGAGAATTCTAAGCTAGAAGATAAAACGACACCTATGCTGATGATATCTTGTAAGAAGGACCACAGAACTGGGAAGGCTGCATCCTCCCCTCCCCTCCCCCACCCACCCAAGGTGGATCAGAACAAGCCCCTGCTCACTTTCCATAGCAAACTCCTGTAGAATTAGAAAAGGATTATGGAGCGGAGCCTTGCCCATACATCCCAGCAGAGACTCAGGCAAATCACCCAGATGTAATTATAAAATGCTATCAGGTGAAAGGGAGTTTAGAAATCAACTGCAGCATTACAGATGGGGAAACTGAGGCTTAGAGAAACAACTCTCATGTGGCTTGAGAATTAATCTGCTTGAGACTCTTCATTAAGTAAAGGAAACCGTTTTATTGCATTTGGGAGAACATTTGTAACAGTCTGAGTCTCCTGGAAAATCCAGTTGTCTTTGTGCAATCTGCCAGTTACTAAGGCAATATCTCCTGTCCCCTTCTGCTTGGGCTAATGTGGGATTCGTTTGTGTTATAAATCAAAGTTTCACTGGGGCCTAAAGGTTAAAGGTGGACATAAAAAGTGTCTTTCACACGTACATTTGTGCTTGATAGCACGTGTTGTGTGTGCAGCACGTCTAGGTTAGAGGCCCTGCTCTTTGTGCATAGATGGCTTAGCTGGGCCATGTCTCAGTCTCCTCATCTACAAAGTAGGAGATTAGGGGATCTGGGACAGGGCAGAGGCAGAGGACCAGCCCTCCTCTCCACTCTTACCTTGGTGCCCCTTCTCTGTACCACTGAAAAGTATTCTTTCTTTCACTTCCCTCTCTGGAAACCCCTCTCCCCTTGCCCCAGATCCAATTGTCACTACCCTCCAAGTGCCCACCCACTACATAAGGGGGTGGCTGGGGGTGACAAAACATGGAAGAGAATGCCATCTTATTACCCTGTCCCCCAGTAGAAGCTCTGGCATGGGGGCCCTGCCAGTGCCATCCCACAGACCCAGAGCCACCCCCGTCTGCCCTCCGGAGTTAAGAACAGCCTTTCCCCCACCCCCTGCACCTCTGATGATGCCTCCCTCTGGCTCGGCATCTGGTGGGCATTTGCATCTGCCCACTGCCTTCTTCATAATTAGTGGGCCTGTGCATCCAGGGCAGGCTCAACACCTGATCAGCTGCAAAGCTGGCCCCAGGCCTGCATCTGCTCAGCCTCTGGGTCACCTCCCACAGCTGCAGAGAGTCTGGGGCCTGTTTCCTGTTTGCACCTGCAAGCCTCCATGGCCTGCCTGTGTCTCACTGGGCACTGGCTCTTCCTCAGCACCCCAACAGCACCCTGCTCACTGTGCCGAGGTAGCCCAAGCTTCTGCTCTGCTGCCCGCGGCCACCCCCATCTGCAGCAGTGGTAAAGGTTGGTGCCGCAGCCTGGAAGCTGCCCAGCACTTGTAGGGCCCTGTCCTGGCTTTTCCTAAGGCTCTGTGATGCTTGCACAATGCATGCTGTTAAGTACCAATGTACATGTAAAAATACACATTTTAAGGACACCTTTGTGCCCTTGAATCTCAGCACAAAATTGATGTACATGCACACCTGTGTAGCCTTGCAACCATCTGGCCCATTATTGGTCCAGGCTGGGTGGGCCCTTATGACTCAGAATCCTTCCTCCGTTGGACTCTTCCTCCCGACCAGGCCCATGAAGGTGTGAGTCCTTCCACTTGTCCTGGATTCTCCTCAGACTTTTCCTGCTGGTCTCAGATTTCCACCCTCCTCTGATGTTTGTGGCCACCAGGACCTGCCTTGTGTGACCAGGGAGCAGCCATCCAGCTGCTGGGAGCCTTTGGGACTGCAGGCCCCTGGCAGACCCATAGCCAGCCCCACCCAGAGGACCCTGGGCAGGGAGCTCTGGTTCGGCCTCAGCCTCAGCCTCCACCCCCCAATCACAGCCACATCCTAAGGAAGGGCGCTTCAGGCAGCCACAGGAAACTGCAGCGGGAACCCCTCGCCAGTAACCACAGGCTCCTCCGCCTGCTGTGGGCCAGCTGGGGATGGGGCCTTCTGCCCCTTCATTCAGAGCCGGTCCACCCATGGCACCCTCTCCTGTTCCTTCTCTCCAGACAGGTTCCTTTCGACCCCTGCTATTCACCCCATGACTGCCCTCCAGGGAGGTCTCCATACCATCCTCCCATCCCCACTCTGGGGACTGCCCACTTCCCAGGTGGGCCAGGGCCCAGGTAGCCAGGGCAGCGAGGACACCTGCTGGTAGGAAAAGCAAACAGAGCTGCTCCCCGAGTCTGGCCGAGAGTGGCTCACATTCCTCTTTCCTGGGCTGTCAGTTTCTCAACATCTGCCAAATTTCTTTCTTGTATTGAGGTTTTTTAAATCCCCGTTCAGTAAACACACATGACTTCCACACGTGTACAAACACACACAGGCGTCTCACCCAGAAGCTTCCCAGCTCTTCCTCACAGACAGGAGCCTCTGGGAAGACATAATATCCCAGACACACGGCCCCACAGTCACCCCCCAAGCTCCCCCATGACACGCAGACCCAGAGGCCCACCAGCCCTCCTCCACACACCCAGAGCCATGACCTTGCTGTCCTGTATCCACCGGCCCAGAAGGCCTGCTCTCCACACATGAATCTGCCCACTGTACAGCAGGAGAGTCTGCATTGCCCTGAAGTCCAAGTTCATGTGAACATATGTGCAAAGCCCCCTCCCAGTTCACATGGGTCACATGTGTGAGGTAGACCAAAGGCCCAGGAAATAAGAAGCTGTCTCTTGCCTGGCCTTCCACAAGCTTGACAGACATTCATTTGGAGCAGGTACTCTGCTTCCCAAGAGCTGGAAAAACTGAAATGGAGACGTGTCACAATGAGCTGTGAAAAGCAGGGAGAAGGCTGAGGTGCTCAGGCTCTTGAAATCATAAGGGCTCTGGCTGGATACAGCGAGCCGGCCTGCCCCTCAATGGCACCCATATGCTTACCATTACCCATATGGTCACATGCGTGAGAACACATATGTTTCCCTGGGCGGCACGATGTAATTCCAAATTAAAATCACATCATAAGGATGTGATGTGAGTTGAGCAAACCGCTTAGCTCCAGAGCTCCTGACCTCCCAGAAGGGTTCGGCTCTTACCAGAATGGCTGTTCCCTTCCCTACCCACCTACCCAGCCCCACCTGCACATCACACCTCCTAAGGCTGAGGCTGGTGAACCCCAGGGCATCCTGCTGTGTGACCACTGCAAGGCCCCCTCCGTGGGGCTCCCCTCCACAGCAGACACCCAGCAAGCATTTGGACTTACTGTGCTCCGCCAGCCCCTGGATCATGTCGAATTTATGGATCTCTTTAGCATAGTATTCCGACTCGGTGTTTTCCTGAGTACAGCCTTCCTCCCTCTCCCCCTGCATCTCCTCCAGCAGCTCCCGGGTGCTGTTGTAAAGGGCCAGGACCTGGTAGGGGACGTGGGTCATCACCGATGGCTCAGGGGGGCTGGTGAGCCTGAGCTTGCTCAAGATCTGTCCCCTAATGGCTTCCACCCTTTTCTTCTTGATGTGGCCAAAGTCCAAGGTGGTGCAAGTGGACAGAGAGAGGCTGACCGTGGCAAAGTTCAGCAGGGCCAGGACCACCAGAGCCCTCTGCAAGTGCATCTTCATGTGCGAGCTGGGGAGAGAGGCCAGGGGGGCGGCGAGGCCTGGCAAGGAGGAGACCCCAGCAGACGTGCAGAAAGAGGGAGGAAAACCAGGCGGCTTCCCCAGATCCCAAAGACTGAGGCTTGGCAAGAGGGTGCATGAACTCACTGCACTGCGAGAGCTTCAGGACTTCCAGGAAGCGCTGGCAACCCTGAGGACGAAGAAGCGGACTGTGGGCCTTGTAGCACTGCGATTCTTGTCCATGTGTCTAAACAGGTTTTGCTGGGCTCTGACTCCCAGCAGGCCAGGTGGAGGGCAAGCAGAGGGCTGGGAGGGGTGGCAAGGCAGCTGGGAGTGGGAAGGGAGCTGGAGTTTTTCCTTAGGTAAAAATAAATAGAGCGGATATCTGATATTGCCAAACGCTGCTTGGCGATGGGGAGAAAGTGGGTATTTTAAAGAAGGCACAGAAGGACCATGGCTGGGCCCCCAAATCAAAATCCTCACCTTGCCCTGAGGGAGAACAAGAAAAGAGAATGGAAAAGAAAAGAAAAAAAATATATTTAAAAAAATACCCAAAAGTCAGATCAGCAGTGAGTAGGTGGGAAGAGGCAGGGCGCACAGTTGCTGGCCCGGCTAAAGGTGGGGGAGGACAGGACACACTTGTCTCTCGGGCACTCCATTCATGCTTTCCCTTTTGTTTACACTTCCTCAGGGGCTTTCTAAATGACTTTGTTCACGCTGCCTCTTGTCTTCATTGGCTGGCATGTGGGGATATGTGCCACTGGAAGGCAAGACGGACAGACCTCTGGAGAACAGCCCCAGTAATCCACTTGGACGCCCACGGTCACCAGCACCTCAGTTTGTCTTCTCCCTCGGCCATGGCTTCTGTCCCCTGCTTCTCTTTAAAAAAAAAAAAATCAAAAGGAAAAGGAAAAGAAAATAGAAGACAGTTCACTGCAGCTGGCTCCGGAAAGCGGTCATTCCTTGCTTTGCACTCTCCTTCCCTTACCACTCGCCTCTCTCTCGCTCATTCCCTTGGACTTGACTCTCTGCTTCCTTCCCTTTTCTCTCTCCTTCTCTCTCTTCTTCTTCTTCTCTCTCTCCCTCTCGCTCCTCTCCCTCTCTCTCTCACACACACATGCACACACACTGCTTTCTCTATTTCTCTCTGCTGAAATTTTATACCTCCCTCCCATGACGTCTCGGGGCTGGGGTGGGGGAGGGAGGGAGGGACCAGCGCACGCAGCCTCTTCTGCTGCACGATTTTAATGTTTTAAACAGGCACAGGAAAAGCCGAGCCCATTTGAAAAATACTTTGCGAGTCCTCTCTTCGACGTGGTAACTGAACTTTTTTTCCCCTCTTGGAGTCACTCCTGCAACACGTTGGCTGTTTTTCTGGAAAGTTACTCCGCCGAGCCCCCTCCCTCTCTCCCCCAGCCCCTGCGCGCTCTGGCCAGCTGTCAGTCGCTGCTCTCCTCCGCCCGTCTCTCTCCCTCGCGGTCCCCCGTGCCCGGCTGCCCCTGGGCTGGTGGACACCCGGCAGGGGCCGCAGGGGGCGCGGGACCGGGCAGGGCGGCCGTGCCACCCTCGGTCGGGGTGATGCTCGACCTGCGAGCGGGGCTGGAGGGGGGCCTGGGCTCTGCGGCGATCCTGGCCGAGATTCCTCATTGACAAGCCTGGAGTCGCGGCCGGCTGAAGCTTGGAGACTCTCCAGGGTCATGGAAAAATGGTGGCGTTTTCCGGAAGACCGAGGGTGCCCTCTGGCGAGGCCTGGCCGCCAGTGAAGGAGGCTCGGCGGGCCCGGAACCGGGCAGGCGGGAGGGCCGGGGCGGGGGCGGGAGAAGGGGCCGTCGGAGAGGGCGAGAAAAACAAGCCTGGGCGCCCTGGGGATCGCCTCCCTCTCGGCCCCACGTGCGTACAAGTGCACCTCTCCCTGCCGGAGCCGCGGCTCCCGAGCAGCTCCGCGCCGCAATGTCATCCAGATGTTCGCAGCCTCCCTCCCCGCCGAGGGTTCCGCAGGGAGCTGCGCCAGCGAGCGCGAAGTCAGCAATTGGCCCGAGCCCATTTCCCAGATGGGTGAGGGGAAGCTTGCGCTCCGCTTTCGTGGCTCTTTTCAGCCTGGAGCTTCTGGTTCTGTTCCCACGAGCAGCTTAGGGAGTGCAAGACACATCCTTTGCCTCCCCAACCCTGGACTTCTGATCACTTTCCTGAGAATGAGTTGTGCCCCTCTCCCACCTCTCCCTCCAGCCTTCTTGGACCCTTCCTGAGAAGTCTGGTTCCTAGATCACTAATTCAAGGGATGTTAATGCATCCCCAGGACAGTGGCGGATCGTTTAATAGTTGAGGAAATTGAGGCACAGGGAGATTTTTTTTTTAAAGGTCACTCTGCTTGTGAGTAGTGGAGGTAATATTTAATGGATAGGCATGATTTTCATTTGCATTACCAATAGGGAAAGCTAGGTGCGGACGCCTTAAAGATTAGCTAACTAGGGTCATACAGCTCTTAGGTGTCAACTCTGGGATTTAGATTCATTGTTAGAATCTGGGAACCTAATCTTTCCACTGCACTGCCTCTGGAATTTGAAAAAATAGTTCTGATGTTTACAATAAGCCAGGCACTGTCCTGTGATTATATCAATGAGCAAAAAAAAAAAAAAAAAAAAAAAAAAAAAACAACAACAAATTCTTGCTCTCAGGAAGCTTATATTTTAGAGGCAGGAGTGGGGGCAGTGGGGAGACAATAAGCTAAATCATTATGTAAATTATGTACTCAGATAAAAGATAAGTGCCACACCGAAAAAATAAAGCAAGGAAGATAAGGAGTACCTAAGTTGGGGAATGTTGCAATTTAAAATAGGGTGATCAGGGAAGGCCTTACTAGGCCTTTGAGCTAATTCTTACAGATAGAAAAGAAAATTATTGAAGTTATACCTTAATGGGGTATAGAGATTCCATCACTACCAAGTTGGTCTCTAGAGATAGGGCTCTGGCACCTGTTTTTCTAAACACCCCTCTCATTAGATTCAGTTGCTCATCAAGTTTTGAAATGTCTTATAATAGGGCTTCTCTCTACTCAGGGTGAGTGCTGTTCCTCTTTTATTTCCAGGGAGTTGGGGAGTTGGGCATGAAGTTCTATAGACTGACTAGAAGGTGGTGGAGGGATAGCTGTGAGACGACAAGAAATGGACAGATCCAAAGATGAACCCCTTCTTCCTCATATGGTGTCAAGAAAGAAGGGAACAAGTGATTCATTGGCAGATATCTCAGGCTGTCTTAGATTTTTGGCACCTTATGTTGCTTCAGATTAAAATCTTACAGAATATCCTCGCCAAGAAGCAGAGTAAGTAAGTAAAGGATCTTAGAAGCCCTCTCATTACAAGTGAGGAAACTGAGGTCCAGGAGGCTCTGCCCTGACTGCATAGTTATTAGCAGAGCTTGGATGAGAACTTGACTCTTCTGACGTCCTTGCCCGTGTTCTTGCCATTACTAGGCATGCTAACTCATAATCCTACCCAGTAATCGTGTGAAATGAATGCGTGAATCTATTAATTTGCTGGATATTTAAGAAATGTTCACAATTCAGTTTTAAGGATGCTACTCCCATTTCCAAGTCCTCCTTTTTTAAGGACAAAGCCATCCAGGCCTTACCCCCAAACTGGGGATATTGCTTGTTTTTAGAGCCACAAGCCCATCTTCAGTGAATCTCAGGGAACAGTGCCAGGGACCTGGCCAGTAGTGTTGATTTGGGGATCTTTTATGAAGTGTGAGTCAGTGAAGACTCAACTTGACTGTTGGCCTAGTACAATGGCTGGCACCCACTAGTACATGCTGGAGAAAAATACTCCTACTGTAATCTGTCTCAGCTGCTCAGCACTCAGGTTATTTTCCTCAAATTACTTCTTTGTGCCTCAGTGTCCTTCATTGTTGAATAGAAATATTACTGCTACTTGCTTTGTGGGGTTGTTGAAATTAAATGAGATCACCCAGGTTCTTGATATTTTGGTTCAGCCTCTCCATAAACTTCTTGAAGACAGATATTATATATATTGCATTTTCTGTAATTCATTATCAAACATTTATTGCACTTGATTTCATCTGTCAAATAGAAACAATACAATTTATTTTGCTTCCCACAAAGGGAGGCCACTGGGATTACAGGTTGTTATGCCCCTCACTTGAGCTAATAACTCTGAAGGCCCTCTGTACCTAGAAGGGATACAAATGGAAGGGATCAGAGTAGTAATTACTACTTTTAACAGTAATGCTTTGCACTTACCAATGTATTTAAACAGAGTTACAAATGTAGACAGTTACTAAGCACAACCCTTTTTCACTGTCTCACAGGAGCAGTCTTAGCGGGAGCTTTCTTCTGTAAATCAGACAAGGTAGGCTTAGGAAACTTTAAATTGGAGGGTGGCCTGAAGAATCCAGGAACAACGCGGCGGTCCCTTTAAATATTGGAAGGGCGGAGTCGTCGTCAGGGACGCGAATGGGACGCTTGGTTTCCAGGAAGTGACGTCATATGGCCGCGGAGATGGACGAGGAGCTGGACCTGGGCGAGGAGCGGCGCCGCAGCTCGGCCTTCTCCGTGAGGACCGAGGCGGGGGGCTTGGACCAGAACTCGGCGGGTGGGGAAGAACAGCCCCGCTGGACCGGGGCCGCTGAGGCCCGGCCCGGCGCGGGCGGGACAAGTCGAGCCGCACGGGGTTGCGGCCCGGAGGAGGCGTCCAGTTCGCCCCGCCCCCGGGGGTTGCTTTCTTTAAAATCCCCCAAATAGAAAACAGGTCCTGTCCCCGCTGGCCTCTGGGACCATGCGAAATCTCTGCGCCTCGAGCCCCAAGTGCGAACTCACCCGGACCGGACAGATCTGAGGGTGACAGGAGGGTCCCGGCCAGAGTCGCACTTATACCCATGCTCAGGTTTTCCTTTGGCACTTCTCACCCCAGAAGTTCTTGTAAAAGCCGCCCCGTTTTATGCACGCAAGGGAGGAAGCCAGGGCCTCTCTCCCTGTAACCCCCCTGGGGAGGCGGGCGCTACCTCACTTTTCCTGTGGGGAATCAAGACTTTATAACGTATGGGATGGTGGTGAGGGGTGCTCGGGCCCTGAAGTCAGATGGAGTATAAAGCTGTTGGTAGGTTTTAAAAAATTATCTCTGAACCTTGATGGTAAGCACTTGACATTGCAGGGCTTGGCATGTGCTAAGTTATCAGAAGAGATTAGCTGCAGTTGCCTGAAGCTGGGATTTACCCATCAAAACCTAAATTTAGTGTTTTTCTTACTCCATCACAACCCCCAGCATGCTTTTAAAATTAGTCAAGATTAAAAAGATATCACTGGATGTCCTCCACAGGGCCATAGAGGAGCACTTTTCTGAGGGAGGCAAATTGGTCTGGAGTGAAGCAGCCTGCTTGACTAAGTAGAATGAATATTAGGTCACCAGGCCTTTTTGATACATGAACTTTTTATGAGGGAGGGGGTACCAGGGATTGAATTCTGGGGCACTCAACCACTAAGCCACATCCCCAGTCCTATTTTGTATTTTTATTTAGAGAAGGGTCTCACTGAGTTGCTTGGCACCTCTCAATTGCTGAGGCTGGCTTTGAACTCTCCATCCTCCTGCCTCAGCCTTCTGAGCCACTGGGATTACAGGCGTGCACCACTGTGCCCGCCTTGAAATATGAACCTGTTTAATACGTGGATGTGAATGTGGTTATTTCTTCATTCTTTCCATGAATGTCTGAGCCCTACCATATCTCAGGTATTGTCCTAGATCACAGCAGTGACTAAAACATTGTGGAACTCATGTCTTTGTGTGGGAAGATGGAACCCAGACTATATATATAAACAGGTTATAAAGTGGTGTTCTATCCTATGGATTTATACAGCATTTTTAAAAAGTTCAAAATCTTAAAAATATTTTACAGTTATTAGAGAGACTATTTGTAAATAGCATTTAGAGACAAGATCATTGAATTTTTGTTTTAACACAGTCCCTGTATTTATGTAGTATGCAGTATTCAGATACCTGACACTATGACAAATGGAAGAGGGAAACCATGTCTGAAGGGATGGAATTGTCTGCCTTGAAAAGAAAGTGAGCTGCTTACTATCAGAAAAAAATGTTTCCATCCTCCCTGAAACCTAAACCATTGACATTACAATTTGAAGCATGAACCCTGAATAAGAATTCTGATACAGCAACTTGAAACTTCTTTCTTCATTCTTAGAACATTCTCAAACAAATCTCAGCTTGGCACAGGGAAAAGACCCAGGATTTGAAGTCAGAAGACTTCATTCTTGGACTTATGTCTGCCACTTAATACTGGGCCTCAGTTTCCTCATTTGTAAAATGGCATCTGTCCTAGCCCCTGCCCACGTTATTGTGAGAATCAAGCAAAGCCACATTAAATGAGATCTACAAGTGCCTATATTAATAGTTTTTTAAAAATAAGCAATCAAAATGATATGTATTTCAACACTCACTAGTGTGTCTCCAAGTCTTTTTGTGTATTGGGAAGTGTTTGAGACCAGAACCTCCACCCGAGGAGGGTCTTGGGAAACACCTGCAAATGGTGCATTTGATGACTCAGAATTTTAAGGTGCTCTAATTTTCAAAGTTGATGTCTCAACATTCTTGCAGTAGACTTCCCTTACTGTCTGTAAATGCAAATCCATTTAGTGTATATTTCAAAGCAAATGTTTTCTATATTTCTCTGGCATTAGTTGCCATGGAATTTAGAATTTTTTCCAGAAGCCTATTTAATAACTATTTTCAGCTGTGATATTAGGCCTTCATAAAATTCTGCTTAGGAACGTGGAAGCCATGGCCACCCCCTCTATGACATTAAGTCATGTGACATGGGGTCTCTGCCCAGTCTACAGGCATTTCTAACTACATTTCTTTGAATGGAAAAGTGATTTTGCTTTTGCAGTCCTCATGGCTATAAAAGAAAACCTCATGAGCAATAACCTGTGAATGTCCTGTTCCCCTATCAAGTAGAATGGATCTCAGCTGCTTTGCTTTAAGGTCAAAGATTGTTCTCTACCATAACATCCTAAATCCAGTCCTTGCTTACCTCCCCAGAATTGTCATCCTCATAGTGGTTCAAATGACATTTGGCCAGCAGTGCCCTTCATCTCTCCTTATAGGGGGCCAAGATGGGTCGCCGAGCTCAAAAGGAGCCAGCTCAGGCTGAGAATCACTTCAGTGACAGGAATGCCTCGGTGACTCTGACCAGTGAGGTAAGTGCCAAAAACGAGAGAGAGAGAGAGAGAAATGTGAAGAAATGCAGAAATGCAAGTTATGACTTAGTGATTCCTTAATGAGCAAGGATTCTGTATTCCACATTTCTTCTTCAGTGCCAGCCCCTCCTTTAATCTGGATATGGGAATTCCCATCCTTGACATTTGTCCCATTAGTAGCAAATGAAATGGCCTTCTTTAAGGCCAGACTGGTTTCTGTACATTTCTTCATAGTCTTAGTATAGAATTTTTTATGTTAGCTTAAACAAGGGACTGTGAAGTTTCAAAATGCAGTAGAAATATGGGTTTTTATTTCTCCTGAATGAACACTAGTGAGGCATGCTGGTGACGAAAGGGTGATGACACAACTGGACATTACTCTCAGCGGTGACCTATACTTTGTGCGGTTTTCAGGCAGGAAGAGGATCATTTAATGGACTTAGTTTCCTGGAAAATTTTCTGAGTGGCCTGGGATTATGGGAAATTACCCAGCTTCTTCATGGAGGGTGGGTCACCCTGAGGAGTGGTACGTTTTAATGACCAGGCACTATTTTGGGCAGTTGGCTCACAGTCCCTTTTTATCTTCCTCTGTTTGACTTTCAAGAGTCAACCCAGGGCCCTCCATTCTGTTAGCTGTCCCCTAAATTCTGCAAGTTAGGGCTCCTTCCTTTTAATTCCATAGTACCTCCTCTGGGGAAGGTCACATTCTGTGTTAATTATCTTATATGTGTCTGTCTGTCCCACCAGACAGAGTTCCCAGATGGTAGGACCCCTGACTTCTGAGTTGCCGGATTTGTAGATACAAGATAGGTTTACAGCAAATGAGGGACCCCTGCTGAGAAACCTAATAGGCCAGGCAGGTGCATGAGCAAAGTGTGCCAGGTACCCAGCACAGACATGCTGTACTGATATGTCAGATCTGCAGGAATATTCTTCATTTTCATAAGGAATACATTCCACTGACACCTCTAAAGGGGTAACCACTGTGTAGCTGAAGCTGGTCGATGCTAGGGGAATGCAAGATCAATATTGCCAGATCTTCCAGAGTTATAAGACATGCTGTCAGTCTAAAGTGTTACATGAAAGCAGCAAATTTTTAGAAATTAGCAACTGAATATGGAAATATAAAGTCATTGTGTGGGCTCTAGATTGGGCCAGAGGATGATCATTTTGTGACTTTGGCCATGATACCATATTAAAGTACTCTCATAAGATGTGAGTAGGAAGCTGGTGAAAGCAGACTTGTCAGAACCCAGCCTGGATCTCTGGGCAGCTTGAACTGCAGGAGTGTATGCAGCTGACCCTTCAGAGAAAAAAAGAGGAAGCAGGGAAGGGGTTGCAGGAAGCCTCTTCTTGCACAGGAGTTTAGGCGGATCCATTCTGAAAGCAGATCCTTCATTTATTTATCGAACAAGTATTCATTGAGCTTATTGTATGCTGGGTATCAATTTAGGACTTTGGTATACCTCAGGGAACAGAAGTCACAAGATTGTGCTGCAACAGAACTTACGTTCTCTCCATCATTGGCAACCAGAAAGACTAATTAAAAGTCTCCTTTATTGTGAAGGAGGTTATAAGCACTGTCATGGTAAGGTGAGAGAGCTGTGACAAGCCAAGGTGTCCAGGAATGTCTTGATGGGCCCTTGAAGGTGACCCTTGTCCCAGGTGGGCTCTAAGGCTGAGGTCATGGGCACTGCTCACCTACCATCTCCTTCCCTGGTTTCCCAGCTGAGAATCAGTGCACTGAGAACACAGCTTCACAGTCAGTGGCCTGAGCCCTTCAGGGTTCCAGCCTTTCAGGAAAACCTACTTACTTCCCCAGAGACATTTACCTTTTTATTTTTTTATTTTTTGACTCTGGGAGCACATGATTCAAAATCATTCTGTTCCTCATCCAGCTAGTGACCCTGAAAGCAAAATGCCAGCAGAATTCCAGGATCCCTTCTCTTCCTGGGTTAATCAAGGATTTAGGCAGCCTCCCAGGGGGCCAGATGCACTGGGCTTTGTGGGACTTTGGGGCTGTTTCTTTCTAAAATTAGATCCTAGGACTTGTGTGTGTGCCCATTTACATTCCAATTCTGAGTATACTACTTGATGTATTTATTTTTGTCCTCTCACTGGATTAATTGTCTGTGAAGATATCCATGAAAATGTAAATGTGGTACCTGGGAGCCGTCAGACATACTAGAATGAAGTGGGAATTAGTTTCAAACAAATAGTTATTTTAAAGTGAGGTTGTAGCATTGGGAACCCTGGTGAAGGAAGCAGAGAGAACACAGGACTTGGCATCAGGAGACCAGGGCTGAGTCTGGGCACTGCTAACCCTGGCCACATCCCCAGCCTGCACATGGGAGTTATTAACTGGACATATTGCTACATCCTAACATTGGAGTTTCTTGGTAAGGGAAGAGTGGCCATTGAGTAGGCAATACAAAACTCATGACAATTTTTAAAAATAGAATTTATATGTAGAGTTGGTTTTTTTCCATAGATAAGAAAGAAAAGACTTGTTTTTAATGGCTTAAAAAATTCACATTCCTCTCTTTAAGTTTTTAAATTTAAAGTTGTGTGGAGTTCAGTGAAAGCATTATATGTTCTGGATTCCAGGATACCTGTTTGAGTTGTTCAGGTAACTCCCTCCTCTACCTTTTCATCCCTTCGACTACCTCCTTAACCGCAAGTGCTTTCTGCCTACAGGATACTGGTGGCTCCCCCCAGGTAATTAAACTATTCCTCTGCCTTGAGAGAGGATGAAAGGTCTCTTGATTAGTTGGTCATTCTATAAACTTCAAAGAACTGTTTAATTTCACTGAAGTACCAGGTAGAGGAGCCCTGTGGATTATTTTAATAGCTCAGAGTTGGAGATACAGGTAAAGTTCTTAGCATAGTATGTACCAAATGGACCCCCCACCCTATTCCCAAGAAGTGGTAAGCAATAAGATAGCTTAAGACTCCACCTTTGTGTATGTGGTAGTAGCTGGCGGGGTGGGAGGGACCTGTCACACAAATCAGGCTTGGATCATCAGAAGCATAATTCAGTTAGCAATTCAGCTTGTCAATAATCCATGTTATTGAGGATTTTTTCTGGAAGATAGTTATAATTCCTGTCTACAAGTCTACAATATCAAACTTTCTCCAGGGAAAGCAGCTCTGAGAGTTACACTGGAATCCCCTACCTACGCCAGCGATTCTGTTGATTTGGATGATTCTGCTCTTATATAGCTCTTTCAGGGAAACACCCAACATTCTCTACCATAACGTTACATTATGCTTTATGTGGACAGAAGTAATCTTGGGCGAAGCCTGTCCAGGGCAGGCTTGTCATTGAACGAGCATTCCTCACTAGGCTCCAGATCCCTTTTTGGTTTCGCTTTTATTTTGTAGATGATCCTTTTGTTGATAATTATAACTATAGCGTACTCTGGAGCAGTGCAGACTCTCTGTGAGACACATGCAGCATCCTAGTGAAGCCTCAGAGGGCTCACCTAGTAGGTGTCGTTGTCATTTTACCTGTGAGCACACTGGGACTGGAGAGATTGGGTGATGGGTCCAGTGTTACTCAGCCAGTCTCTGACTCTGTCCAGGTAAATGCACAGGCTGTCAGTGCAGAGGTTTTTGGAGAGAGCAGAGAGACTTTGGGTTACTCTCTTGGAACCTTCTGCAGTGGGGGGGAGTTCTCATTTGATCACCCTTATTCGTCCAGTTGTAGAGAGCAGTGTTTGAGTCACAGCTGTCCCCCCTACCCCCATTCCCTCAGTTTTCCTCCAAGGACGCAGAACTGAAAGTTAGCCAGATTCTCTCGAAGGAATCTGAGAAATGCTGCTGGACTCATGTTCCCAAATTAGGCCAACTTCCTCATCCCCCGGCAGCTTCGCTCAGCCTGAGCGCCTGGGTGCTGTGCAGTACGTCCCTCACCCTCTGCCTGTTCCCTGACTGGCCTGCCAGCTGGGCAGTTATTTTCAGCCCAATAGGGTTATCTGCTGACCCTTTTTGGTGACATTTTTCTTCTTTCTCACAAAAATAACTCTCTTGATTGGTCACATTTTTCAGCCTTTTTCGTAGCTTCTCTCCAATCAGCCAGATTGAATGATGCTTCTGATAACGTTACCGGAGAGGGATGTGGGGAATTTGATATGGAGCTGTTCATAAGGAATGTGTTTTCCACACTTCATATTTATGTCAGGCTTTGCATGCTTCAGTTTTTGAACTCTCCCTTGGGGTGGGCAGATGTACATCACTGACCCAGCCCCACGGCCGGCCACTGTGTGGGAGGGAATGTCATGTCAAGGAGAGAGCCTGTAATTCTGAGTTGACACCTCAGATTCTCTTTCAGCACTGAGCCTGGCTCTGGCTCGGGCTGGGTGCCCCAGGACAATGCACTTTCTTGTTGGCTTCCTCCATGTGCCAGGGTGGACGCTACAGAGCACTTTAAGAGTCTCTTCCTCACCTCTAGGTTAGATGTATGAAGAGCTGAGGCCAGTGCTCCAGTTAGTCAGTTATTGTTGCCAGGATGTCACTATTGTTGTTATTACCTAATTTGATAAGCAGAAAAGATTATCATTCTGTATTTATTCCCATCTCTGCCCATTGCTAGGTGTATCTCCTGGCAAGTTTCTCAACCACTCTAAGCCTGGTGCCTCATCTGCTGAATGGAGATAATAGTTGTACTTATGTCACAGGGTTGTTGGAGGATAAATGGGAGAATGTATAAAGCTCACAAAACAGTGCCCAACACATGCTAGCTATTATCATCATTATGTGTATCACACATGAGAATAAGAACATATTACCAATTTATCCTAAATTTGCAGTTCTGTTCAAGATACAGAGATAATTGTATTTCATAGAACTAACTGGCCCTTAGGGCCAAAAGCATTTAGATAAAGAATCCTTTTGGTGAGATTCTGTGGGCCATGTGAGACCTGTTTTATTTGTCTCCTCTATTAACATCAGCCAGTTACATGTCCATCTTTACAACCCACTGTCTGTGTAGAGGTTGG